TTGTGGAAAAGAATGTTTGTCTTACCTGTGAGTCTAACCTCACAGACACCAAACCCCTCTACGCTTATTTAGGGAGGTGTGGAGGACGTCATGTCCTCTGCTGGGCTCAGTGCCACACTTGCTGAGAGGCTGCCTCTGGTTACAGTTCTTACATCATTGAACCTCTTTTAGCATTGCACAGTGGTTCTCAGGAAGTACAGGCAAACCTGGTTTATGGTATTACTTACCTCCTCCCAGGCTGCTTAAGCATCATCGGCCTGTGGAGGTCTGTTCGCATGACCATAGATCTGGCCACTGTGAGCCTAGACCTCCTGGACCAGAACATCAATCTCCTCCTGGGAGAAGTTCCGCTGTCTCCCATTGCTGTCTTCGGCCATTTTTTTATTTATCACTTCATGAAAATAGCAATATGCCTCACTGTTGGCAGATTTAGCTGATGTGATTGGCGCTAACCGTACTTGGCTGTATTAAACCACATCCGAACATTCTCCCCTCCCTTTCTGCTACTTATGCCACTGGAAGGAGCTGAGTAAGAGAGGGGGGATACTGAACACTGGGCTGATATGCTAACCAAAATACCAAAGTGTGCTTGGGCATGCCTCATTGGTGCAGTGGACCTGACTCACGCTGCACTGACGCCACACTGCTGGCGAGGCACGGAAATAGAACTCTTCGTTTTAATGTGGTTTGTAGGTTTTGGCCCTAAAGTTGACTGACAGATTGACCTTTCAGTTACAAGAAATAAAAACACAAAATATGATTGGGAGTTTTTTTAATTATTTTTTTTAATCCTCCTTCAGGCAGTTTTTCAGTGAAGATGCTGAAGGCTCTCTAAAACCTTAGATTAAGGCAGTGTTTAAGATGGAAAGACATGAACGCTGATGTGTGCTGTCTTTGCTAAATTGGATTGGAAAAGTGGACTCTCAGTGCAGCCATTACTGCAGGCAGAACGTGTCAGACAGATGTATGAGGAGCAGACGACTGCTCTACAGGCAAGCCTTTAATCTGTGAAGGATGAACACCAAAAGCCTTAAATTTAACTTTTCCTGAAAGGCTTTTATATGATTTTTCAAATCTTTTAACCCCAAGAACCAAAAATAGGTTTAATCACGAGGACCTTAAATAAACTGCACACACTAAAAAAAAAGGGAGACTTGCCATGTATTGGATTTATGTAAGCATCTTGCGTGTATCTTATGGAGGACTAAAAGGGCCAAAATTAAATAAATAAATACATCAATAAATAAATACTTATACGTACCATTAAATAATTAAAAGTGTCAATAAATAAATAAATGTATCATTAAAAGTGTCGATAAATAAATAAAAGCACCAATAAATAATTAAAAGTGTCAATAAATAAAAAAAATACAATTTCATGAAAGACATATTTATTTCACGAAAGACATATATTTATTTCATGGTCCGTGTTGCGTGCATCATGAAATAATTGTATCTGTCAAACTCACTCGTCAAAGTCAGTGGGCGGGGCTAACGCGAATCCAATCTGATCTGTTGCTTTGGTCTGGTCTGAAGTAGTTGGGAGAGCGACATGGAGGAACTCCAGGGACTCTTGAGGGAGTTGGAGAGAGGTCTTTTACAGCTAGCAGAGGGAATGGAAGCGGGACATGCCGACCCAGAGCATGTGGAAGATAAAATTGAAGAATTTATCGAGGCTGTTGGACTAATTTCTGCACTTGCCAACCAGGACATGGACAACAGGGTGACAGCAAACTTAGAGGAAGCGGATACAGGGACCGGGGCGTTTGGCATTTGACATACCGATTGCGGTTCTTGAGCACCATGTTCTTTGTGGATTGCCAGCCGGTCAAATTGCAGCGATGTTTGGTGTGTCAAAGAGGACCATTAGGAGGCACATGGAACAATACGGCTTAAGGTATTGACACTAAATCCATTACTTGTCGGTTTATGAATTGCTTAATTGTCTCTGTGTTGTTTAAAACGACTTTTTCCCCCTATGGTGCAGAAAAACAGACCTCTATTCAACCATCAATGATGAGGAGTGAGACCGCATCGTAACTGAGCTTCACAGAAGACATCCAAACACCGGCTACAAGCTCATGCAAGGTCATCTGGCTGCAAGAGGTGTGCATGTTCCAGGTGAGTCTAGTACTATGGTCATTATTTTATTACCTCCGCCAAGGAGGTTATGTTTTCGGTAGCGTTGGTTTGTTTGTTTGTTTGTCTGTTAGCAACTTTACGGAGAAAGTCACAGACGGATTGACCTGAAATTTTCACCAGAGGTGCGGCTCAGCCCCAGGAGGATCCCATTACATTTTGGTGGTGATCCAGACAAAATTCTGGATACTGTGATCCAGAACACACAAAAATAAGGGTGTCGTTGGAATTTTCAATGCTGCAAGATAACAAATGGGCGGCACTGTGGTGTAGATGGGTGGCACTGTTGCCTCACAACCAGAAGATTCTGGGTTCGAATCCTGATCAGGGCATACCAGTTTAAACACAAATAAACGTTAATAAAAGACACGTAACAGTAAGTTTCGGTGTGAATCACAATATAAGAGGGGACATGAGCTGCTTGGCGGAGGTCTGCGCTCTCCGACTGCTTTTCTAGTTTAATTTGCAATGCAGAGCCAATTGCAGAACAGACCTGACCCATGATTTTCAGGCTAATATTTAATAGAGGTGTACAATATCTAGCTGGATGCGCCCAGCGCCCCCTCCTCCCCCAATGATGTAAGAGGTATATTATGATCAGGCTGAAAATCACAGGCCATGTTTGTCATGGCATACAGTCAGCAGTGTAAACCTGTGGCATGCAGGAGCAGCTTGCTTTTGTCTTGTAACAGACTAAAAATATCTGACAGTTCAGCACATTATTGAGACTTGTGGTTCATATAGTGACAACTCCACATCCTGTCTTCCTGTCTTGTATTAGACAAGTGACTGAGTATTTTTGTTCCAGTACTGGTCAAGTAGGGTGAATAGTTGTTTTTAACCAAGTTGCCAATGAGTGTATAGTTATTATTCATTTGATTTCCCTTCCCTCAGTATCAAGACTGCAACAGTCTTTACGCAGAGTCGATGCAGAGGGAGTCTACATGAGACGTCTAAGACTTCATGTATTGAGACGACGGCAGTATTCTGTTCCTGGCCCAAACTCTTTGTGGCATATAGATGGCAATCATAAGCTCATCAGGTCAGTGATCTTGGCAGATTCGCAATACATCTTTTCTCAGATGTGTCATTACTATTGTTTTACAACAAAGTTGTACTTTTCCATGTGTTCATGATTGCTTGACAGATGGAGATTTGTTGTCCATGGTGGGGTTGATGGATTCAGCCGTTTGGTGGTCTACCTAACTGTGGCAGGAAATAATAGAGCTTATACAGTCCTTCAGAGCTTTATTGCTGCAGTTGAGCAGTATGGGCTGCCATCAAGGGTACGGTCTGATAAAGGGGGTGAGAATGCAGATGTAGCAGAATTCATGATCAGGAGCAGAGGGACTGACAGGAATTCACACATCACAGGGAGAAGCGTCCATAATCAGCGGTAAATAGATGTTTGGCAGCTACGCTCAGACAACAACCGCAGCAGTTGAGTGTACATCTTTGGCATAGATCTAACATACATTAACACTGTCAATTTTATTCTTAATACAGAATAGAGCGGATGTGGAGGGATGTTTATGAACATGCCCTTGACCTCTTCTATCAAATTTTCACTTCATTGGAAGATCAGGGAACATTGGATCCAGACAATGAAGTCCATCTTCTTGCACTACACTGGAGCTTTCTCTCACTAATTCAAGAAATCCTTGACTCTTTTAAAGATGCTTGGAACTTTCATGGTCTTAGAACTGAAAGGAATCACTCACCACAGCAACTCTGGAGAAGATACAGAGAGCAAGGCCCCATGGAGGTTCCCACTGAGGTTGGAGAAAAATCATCTTAAAACACTTTTGTCTGTTTCCCAAAAAGTATGGAAGATTGTATTTACTTCAGGTGTTACACTAAAGTGTCTACAGTCACCAAATTAGCCATTAAACTATAATTGTTGCCATGCATAATATACACAACCATTATTTTTCTCAAAGGAATAGGCAACATTTGATTTCTCAATGACTTGGTTACCAAACATAATCTTAGAAACCGCGTGTAATGAAATGTTAGTCGTTTTTTGATCATGCTTGTCCTCCATTCAGGTTTATGAAGACTATGGGATTGACTGGAATGGACCTCACAGTCTTAATGGAGGCACTGTGTCAGTCCCCGAGATTCAGCTGGCCCGAGAGCTCACAGACGAAGAGGTCGCCACTTTGCCAGCTCCAGGATTGTCTGTCACTGATGCAGTTAGAGCATATTTAGACACTATGCAGGTTTTAACAAGAATAACAGCAAACTGATGTCCAACCCATGCTTTTATTTTGCCTCACAGACCAAGCAAAACGAAACTGGAAAAACTTCCTTTCCTCAGAATTTAAAAAAACAAAACAAAAACAAAACAACCATAGTCACCACTGTGATCTTTTAGATGGACTTATTCTACATCTCTTTCTCCACATAATGGATAACAATGCTGTAAATTTTTAAATTGCAGAACTGTTTGTTTCTCAAAAATGTATGATGAATGAATGAAATCTGAATAAAACAATGGTCAAGAACTGCGTCAGTTTAGGGTTATAATGAACTGCATGCAATGACCCATCTGAAAAAATTGAAATTACACAAGTCCAAATCCACTCTGTGCACTATTTATGGCTGTGAAAAGTGCTTCCTCAAACTCCTCGTAGGTTTTGAAATGAGCTGGCAGCTTCAGTGTTTCGAAGCATCTAGAGGACGTAGGAAGACTTCCTCCAGAGATCTCCACTCTGAGCTCAGGAGGAAGCATCTCCCAGCCAACCCAGAATTTCAGCAGCTGGACCAGTATACCTGATGAGGCTAAAAGTCATAAAACAGATCGAAGACAACACTTGGTTTGACTCCAATTGGTCATCTCTATCCATGAAACATTTATAAAGAGAGCAATACAAGAACATTAGCAAAATAAACGGTTTCATACCTGTTTCAATGAACATCCTCAGAAAGCCAGTGATGCGGCATGTAGACTCTACGTCAAAGTCCTCATCATCACTGTCCTCAACTGGCCATGTGATTTTTTGCAGGAGCATCTTAAGAAACAAAAAAAAGAAAATAACTTGGCATAGTTGAACTTACTTTGTTAAAGGAATATTCAGATCACATTCTTGGTAATTGGAAAAATATAACAGCTCAGTCATTGAAAATACACAAATTCATACAGTGAAGTTAAAAAAAAACTGAAATCCTGCCTTACCTGAGGTGTGAACTGCAAATCAGCCATTTTGGGGAAAAGAAGTGGGACTACATCTGGTCTAGATGTCAGAAGTGGCCATACCATCACATCTTTCAGCCCCTTTCTCAACTGTTTAATCTGGCGCATGGTTCTCCCAATGACCTAAAGAGAGAGACCCAACAAATATTACAGCTGAAATCCTCAACCTAAATTTCAACTCTCAACAGGCGTGAGAAATGCTGTGGTTAAACTATAAATACCATTCTACTTACATAAGCTTTGTATTAAATGGTGGTTGTGAAAAACTTAAACATGGCAATGGCCAAAGCATGAATTACACAACTAAAACCTTACCATTTTATCCCTGCCAGCATTAGCGATGAATTGTGCCAGTTAAGTTAACCAGCAGGTACTCACTGCATGGAGGAGAAGTTTGTTATGTAGCCATCTCCAATTTGTTTTGGTGACTGCCGGGAGATCCCAAGATAATGCAAGATCTGAAACTGTCTCCCTCTGTTCTGGTGTAAGTTCTTCATGTTCAAGCTTGAATGAAGACCATACAGGTTACTACATTTGCCCAAATATTTTTTGCAAGAGAATGGTTTTTGTGTTACATACCAGTTTTATGATGCTCCTGATATGCAGATCAGGGCAGTCTTCTGTAACAACAGTTGCCGTTTCAGGATCCCCATTGCACAGTACATGAATGACAGCAGGACTTAAACCTGCAACATGGGGGCCGTCATGTAGAAAACTGTGGGCCAGCATCCTTCCTGCCACCTGGAAGAGGTTGCTTTCAATAAGCACCTCTGATGCCGCTGGAACAAGATGATCAGGTTCACCCTCAAATAGCAGTGTTCGGCCCATTCCTCCTGTATGTACCAAGGGTGGTAAAGGCAAAACAATTAACCATCTGAAACATTTTTTAAATTTACCTTCAAAATTTTAAGGGACTTACCAAGATCTAGACTGAACCCAAACTGGAGTTTGGATATTACTGTTGTCATAAAGTACCGCATCACTCCCTCTCCGACAGCAACATCACCTGACATAAAACACTGATAATAACACTGGGAAAATCATGGCTGACTAATGCAGACTCGATTAGGTAAAATTCAAGCAAGGAAAAAAATAGTCAATATTCTATTGCTGCCATTCTACAACAGTATCCTAAAGAATATTGTGCATGGAAGATTTTTTTGTCAAATATATCATTTTTTTCAATCTCACTTTCCATTTACAATTTCATATAATACACCTGAGTGGTATAAACCTTTCTGATACATTTATATTCCTTACCAACAAGGGTACAATGAAGTGGGCATGCCCATTCTTGCTGCCATTTATAGAAGGAGAGAAGTTCCCGTTCCCTTTCTTTTTCAGAGTCCCTTACATCCATTCTCATTTTAAGTGGTTTCCCAGATGCATGTTCCCAAAGTAAATTCTCTTTAAAAACTTTGGAAGCTTGAGCTGGTTCTTTAATCAGCTTCCATTCTAAACAAACAATAAAAAGGAAAACATTATCTCTTCCACAGAAATGTTGTGAGCTGGCATGTTACCTGTCAAAACAATATTCTCCTTCAGGCTATAAAAAGGGAGGAAAGTTCTGTCCATTTCACTGACCATGCGACCCCCAACATCTTCGGAATCTGTCACAAAGCTGAAGTGACATAAAAACAGCAAAAGACCATTCTAAACAGATACTAAACATTTTAACATTTAGAGTCCATCATCCAGTTGCATGTGATTATTTATTTATATTCTATCATATAGTATTAATAATTTATCATATATATTATTTATCATGTTATTATTTACAATATATTCATCATATATTATTTATTTATCATATATTATTATTACAGGTGTTATTTTAATAATGACTGAGTTTCACTTGCAGACAATCTTACAGCAAACCTATTGTGATGACACATGCCACTGTCCGTTTCTGTGTGCTCCAACGCCTTGTTGTCAATCACTGTTGGTACTGCTGAACTCTGAGATGCTGTTTCAGGTGTCACTGGAGCACTGTCATTGACAGGGACTGTCCCTCTACCAGTGTCCTCACTTTGACCTTGTTCGCTTTCTGATTCCTGCATGTGTCTCCTTGAAGTTAACAAAATTAAAATGATCATCATACTCACCTATATGTGTCACAACACTCTAAGAGAGACTTGCATTTCCTTAGGAAGCACTTGCCCAATGCAGCTCAATCTGTGTTCCCTCATCTCAGAAAAGGAAACTTCCCTTAGACATGTGATGCAGGGGATGATTGGACCGGGACTGGAGCTCTCCTAAATAAAGCAAATGGCTTTTTAATGATAAAAAATTATCAGTAAGCTTCATTTTGATTAAGTTGAGTGTCTGCTTATTTACGTACACAATTTAAGGGTAGATCCTGTTGAAGTGGACGTATGTAGATTGTAGCCTGTCCAATCATTGTTGATGGATCTTTTAGATATGCAAGGGTGTATCCAGTGCTGGGACACTGAACTAACCCAAGGTTTCGGCTGCGAGTAGATCCCACAATTCTGAGAAGTTCAAAGCCTCCCCGTTCTTGGAGCTTTGGAAATACTTCCATCAATTTATTTGTTATAACTTTGGGATCATCATCATCCCCTGGGGAAAATAAAGAAGTTACAACCATAGTTATTAGCATTACAAAAACCTGCAAATAAATGTAGTGAGCCACAGACAATAAGGTTTTTTGTTGTTGTTGTTGTTGTTGTTTTGGTAAATTCTTAATTTCCCACAAACCTGAAAATGTCACCCTTGCCTCGCCAAGTCCTGCACTCTGAAGGTCTGCTTTCAGTGGCATACTTGGCACTTTATCCGCCTTGCTGTCAGCCAGACAAAAGACTGTGTGTGTGTAGTTTGTTCTGTTGTTCTGGTTCGGTGCTGGTCGTCGTCTCATTACTCTTCTGGAGACACTATTATAAGGAGCAAAGAGCCTTGCTACCTCGGCTGCAACACAAAATAACACCACAAAATCTTTGATTCAACTCGCGAACTGTTATCCAGTTGACCACACACCTGTGTCTCGAGCCATTGATTAGTAGAACATCTGGCTGGTGAAATTACTTAGCTTACCTTCGACAGGTGTACGAGATTGAGGAGGAGCTGGGGTCCGCTGTGGATGCTGTGTTGGCGCTGCCGGAGGCGTCTGAGCTGCGGGAGCCACCGGAGCCGAAGGCGTTCTTCTGAGGGCTTCTTCAATTAAATTCGCAGCTTCTCTGAGCAGTTCTGGGCTTGTTTTATCCATAGCAGAGCCTATCGCTGGCTTACTATGGGGGTAATACTTTTTTGTTTGCAGAAAGTGAGGAAATTGGTTTAATCAAGTATGAGCGGGCTTATCCAACGTAGAGGTGAATAGCGCCACCCAGTGTATAGGAGTGTGTTCACAAGCTCTGCCTCGATCCATTATCTGGCATCAATATGCCTTGACTGGATGTGCAGGGTAACCAATCAGGAGTTAGATCTCCGCCCACTGACTTTGACGAGTGAGTTTGACAGATAAAATTATTTCATGACGCACGCAACACGGACCATGAAATAAATATATGTCTTTCATGAAATAAATGTATGTCTTTCATGAAATAGTATTTTAATTATTTATTGATGCTTTTATTTATTTATTGACACTTTTATTTATTTATTAATGCTTTTATTTATTTATGGACACTTTTAATGATACATTTATTTATTTATTGACACTTTTAATTATTTAATGGTACATATAAGTATTTATTTATCGATGTATTTATTTATTTAATTTTGGCACTTTTAGTCCTCCATAGTATCTAACACAATTGCCTCTTGTTATAAATTTCAATGTAAGTGTATAGTGTAGGAGCTACGTGGTGTGTAGAAAGAGTAAATGAATGTCTTCTTATCATGTTGGGATGAAGCTATTCGATAATGAGGTATGGTAATTATCGTGAGAACGCACGTGATCTCGTCACGCACGCTTTGCATTGTTGGTACAAGATGGCAACTCCAGCATCATGGTCAACATCTGTTAGCATCAAAGAGCTGCGTGACGCCATCACTTCGGTAGGTAAGTCTGGGGGGGGGGGGGGGGGCTGCATTGGCTGCGTGATCACGAACAACAACTCGGTACTATTTAGTAGCAGCGCATGCCCCTTGTAATAACCCCCGTAAAAACTGTTGTTCAGGACTGCTTACTTGTGCTTCTTACCCATTCGGCTACTGTAATAACAGTTTTCCTTAACGCTTAAATCGGGGACATTTTCGGGGAAAGCTTTTGCCGGAGGCAGGTCATCCAATTCGGGGACTGTCCCCGGAAACGTCTGGTCACCTTAATCCGCATAATAATTAATGTCTTGACAGTCACCATGTAACGTAAAGGTTAAATAAGCATTGTGACTTGTGAGCGTATTTGTAAAACTGTAAAGTTTTATCGCCGTGTTTCATTTGGGGGGGAAAAAAAACTGTCTGATGAGCTGTCCGTAAACTCCTCTTTACTCGCTCCCTTAATGTAAATCATGTAACCTCTTATGTCGTCTGGGGTCAAATGAGGGACACCACGGTTCCAGTGTCAGGAGCTCGAACTGTGGGGGGCGGGCGGTGGCGGCACAACGCCATTATGGCCATGGTTTCTGTGTGTGTGTACGTGTGCATGTGTGTGTCAAAATTTGCCAGCGCAACGCCATTATGCGCCATCATTTCGGTTTGTGTGTGTCTCAAAATTAGGGACTGGAGCGGACCCGGACAGACGTGACATTTAGCAACCCTCGTTGGCTCAGTGTTTGATCAAGTAACATCAGTCTATGCTAGGCTTCGAGAATAACAAGTTTCAGTTCTCATCAGAGTAGTCAATGGTCACATTAATGATTTGATAGTTTAGTTACCTGAATAAAGTTGCCAAGTGTTCATCATCAGCATATTTATTGAAATACATTTTTCTGTGCCTTTTTCTCAGCTTGCTGCAGATCACAGAGAAATCGAAGTCCCTGTGGAGTCAGCTGATGAATTGTGGGCTCAAGTTTTTGTGGTAAGAACAGGAAGTTGATCTTACAGTGACCACAGATGTGATTCATTCGTGGTGCACTTTAGTGGATTATTTAGTGTTTCTGGAGTGAGCGCTCCAAACGGGACAACTCTGAAAGAGCCCTTAAAAAGTTCATCCTCTGACTCTTGTGTATACCTTCCACTTGTTATTCACTGTTTCTTTCAAAAATGCATTTTTTAATCAAATACAGTTTTCTCTTCACTAGACATGGATCCATTTCTATTTTTCCAGTGAATGGCGCAAGAGGTATTCCAGTGACAGTGAATGTGGCGATGCAAGGTCTGCCCTTCAGTTTTTCCAAGCAGGTCACATATTCTCAGGCATTATCGGGTGAGGCATAGACCTTTTGGGACTAACAGTCATATTTCATGTGTGTATACAAGCTGCCCATGCACCTTTAGAACATGGAATGCACTATTAATTCATCTGAATTGATTTCATGTTATAAGTTCTCGTCATCGGCGCTCAGAGAGTTGTAAATTTAATTGCCATTTGTGTCCCTGTAAGGATCTTGCATCTGAGAGGGATTACTGGATTCATGTTAGTGCGCACTTGAAAAAAAATGAGGTTATAACCTGTATGTTCTTGGATTGCACATTTTAAACAAACATCTCAGGATCTTTTAAATCCCACAAGAGCAGAAAACACAGGTCCCATTCACCTAAAGATTTTAAACCAGGCATTGTAGTGTCAGCCAGCCTTGCTCCTCAAGAATCTGGTTCAAATACATCTGATGATGACGACACTGGTGAGGATGCTCAACCAGGCAGCAGTGCCGATGCTCAAAATGACCTCCCAGATGTAATCACGCACACTTTGGCAGCAGATTTGTTAAAATTAGAACATTTTTCCCACGTACCAAGCAGAGCGATCGTTGATTTTTTGGTAGAGCTTCACTACTTAACTGGCTGTCTCTCAAAATCTCATGCTGAAGGTGTTCTAGTCAACAATTTTCAAAAAGTTATCTCCTCTCTATGCTCAGCCAATTCTCTGAATAAGGCCATAGAGAAAGATGGACCTTTGAGTTTTGCATATCAACGTAAGCAATATTACAAAGCAAACTTTAATGTTGTCGAACCAGTTGAATATATTTTAGATGCCAAATAGAGCAAGACATTTCAGTATGTCCCCATCCAAGAATCCCTGCGAGTGCTGCTGACTAGGAAGGATATTGCGGACAAGATAGTAGTCACAAAGCACAAAGGGTAACAAAGGGTACGCTGAAGAAGAAACTGTGTACAGGTCCTATAAGGATGATCTGCACTGTAAGAAAAATAGTTTGCTGTCAGGGGAAGACCTCAGTTTATCAATAACATTGCATGCTGACGAATTTAAGGTCTGTAACCCTTTGGGTACCTCCCGCAAAACCCACAAACTTTTAGCGGTGTATTGGGTACTGAGTAACCTACCACCAGGGTCTCATTCCAGTCTGTCCTCGATTTTTTTAGCCTTTATTTGTAAAACAACCAATTTAAAGTCATTTGGTTATGACAAGGTTTTAGAGCCTGTAATAACAGAGCTGAGGTGTTTAGAAGTTGAATGGCATTTTTGTACCGCAACTGGGCAAAACACTGAGGGGTGTTCTTTTGTCGTTTTGGTACAGCACCTGCTTTGGACATTCAATCACATGAGGTTAGATCAGGAACTTCCAGCCTAAGAACAAAAGAAACATGTGAAATCCATGTCAGACGACCCTAGATAGTGGCAGTAGCTTTTTTGGTGTTAGAAAAGCCTGTCCTTTTACTGAGGGACTGTCTCATTTTCATGTTGTCAGTGGCTACCCCCCTGACATTGCTCATGATCTTTTTGAAGGCATTGTGCCTGTTGAAATAGCACTTTGCCTCACATCAATAATATCAAGGAAATACATAAGTCTGGATGACATCAACAGTTCCATTCTGCATTTCCCATACAAGTGGACAGACAAACAAATAAGCCTCATACTTTGCCACAAAATCTTTCAAGCAGGAAAACCATCGGGGGCAATGCCCATGAAAATTGGAGCTTGATAAGATTGCTCCCATTTCTAATTGGCTCCAAAATTCCTGAACATGATCCTGTATGGCAGATCTTATTAGATCTAAAACAGATTGTTGAGCTAGTGGTTGCTCCAGTTCACAGTGACGAGTCTATTGCTTACCTTGAAAGGAAAATTTCAGATCATCGACAAAGGTTTCAAGAGGTGTTTCCTAACAAAAAATTGCTGCCCAAACACCACTACATAGAACATTACCCACAACTAATTCGTTTTTTGGGTTCAAGTTGCCTCAGGTTCGAGGCAAAGCACAGTTTCTTTAAAAAAGTTGTGAAACACACCAGTTGCTTTAAAAATGTGCCTCTGTCCCTTGCTGTGAAACATCAGTTAATGATTGGTTACCACTTGTCATCTCCAAATATTGACAAACCAGTGCTGGATGTTTCAGATGTATCCACTGTCCCATTAGATGTTTTAAAGGAAGAGCTTGCTGAAGCTTTGAAAGAGAAAGCGCCCGATGCTACTGAAATAAACTTTGCAACAAATGTTTGGAGCAAGGGAATAAACTACAGACCAGGTATGATAGTGCCATATGATTCTGAGGGTGGCTTGCCTGAATTTGGGGAAATCCATCAGATGTGCATTTTGCACCAGAGACTGTTTTTTTGTGTTGAAACATCTGTGTGGATGGTATTGTGAGCATTATGGAGCCTTTCAGCTGACTCCATCTCCCACACGAGAATTTGCTCTTGTGGAAGTATTTGAACTGGCTGATGAGTATCCACTAGCCTTCTATGATGTTGAGGGGGTGTAGATGATGATCTTTAAGAGATCAATCAGTCTGTACAGGTAAGATAAGGTAAAATCATTGTGCTTACAGGGGCGTTCAGTCTAAAAGAAAAACTTAAAAGGAAGTCCAGGGCTCTCATGAACACACAATTCTGAAAAAGCTAATAACTTGGCTATTTGTCCTCAACTTTAGCTGCTCCTCTGCTTCCTCCTTTTCTGCTTTTCCCCTCTCATCTCTTGTCTTTTTACTTAGTTTCTTTCCCACCATCTTTCTACTTATCCCACCTCTTCCTCCCTCAATCTCTTTCCTTCTCAGCCTCCTGTTGTCTTCTCTGTCTTGGTCCCATCCACTCTTGCCTTCCATTCCTCTTTGATCTCTTTAATAATGCTTATTTTTATCTCGTCTGCCCACCTCCCCTCTTCTTATCTCTTTTCACTTCATCTCCTATTGCACCAATAAGAACGT